TTTTCTGGGACACTTGGAAAATAGTGTCATTTTGGTCTAAATACCTAAAATATTTCGTTTGACAATTTGCAGTGAATTTTTGTATTCTTGATTTTTTTTCTTCATGAAAGAGAGAATTTGGAAGATCCCTATATAGAATTTTGTAGAGCAGATTCCGCACTATCGAATGGTATATAAAACTTATAAATTTGGCCTAATTTTGATAAAAATATAAGCTGAACAAAAAAGTCCAAAAAAGCTCAAAAAAATGAGTCAATTTTAATAGGTTCGCTGAGGGTGGTCCACTTTTGTCCCTTATTTCTTCACAACTACATTGGCAATGGATCCTAATATTTTGGCTTTTGTATATATACACTATGACCTTTCAAACTAAATATCAAAGATCAAAATTTAAATTTTAGCTCCGGACGGTCTCTGATATATCTGGGTGATCTTGTGGCGAAGTCTTTCTCAAGATTTGTATCTTTCTATTAAATTATTATTTAAAAACTAGCTCATGTAAGTCACAACGCCACTAGTCAATCGGTATTTTCAGAACTTGCACAGTTCAATATATGTAATAGAGGCAAAAGTTTTACGAATATTGACACAAGCCTTTTTAGCATGTTAAAACCTCTGCTTGTAATGATTTGCTTTACGAAAAATTGTAAATGATATCCAAGAATTATTTTTAAAATTTAGACTTTAAAAAAGAGTGTACTGATTAAGTTAAAACCTTTTACGAGTATATACACCAACAAATTCGATAAAATTCATGATACTAACTTTACAATGACGATATTTACGTTTTCCAATCAGTTTATCATTGGATAAATTCATTTCAATCTTGTTGACATAAACTTCATCATCACTCATTTCACTTGAAGTTGTTGTTATTGTAGGATTACCTAAAATGAAAAAGAAACTAACGGTTTTTTAAATTCACATTGACTACACGTATTAAAAGAAATACCTTTTCTTTTCTTTCGATGATCGTACCTAAACTCTTTTTTCAATAGTTGGATTAAAATCGCAATACTTTGTTTCAACTCATGATTGCCATTCGTAGCTGTATGATCTCTAATGTAATATTCTTTACTAGCTGATTTTAAATCAGGATAAACAGCACAAGTTAAATCATTAAGTTCTTTTATTGTCAATACGACTAATACTGATGGAGTGATTATCTGTAATTCTTTGCATATAAAAATAGCGAACGTTTCATTGAATCTTTTTTTAAGATAATCAAAAAATTCATCGCCATTCATATGAGAATATATTCTACAAGGAAAACGGATAGTTATGAACGATCAGCTATCATGCTTACTTTGGATCTGTTGATGATGGAACAGGCATAATATAATGACAAAAAGAAACTAAGTAGAAAAATATGTTAATAAAAAAAAAACGAGCTGATCTACTTGACACAACAGATACTTACGTAATGAACGGTCAGAAGAATGTTATAGACAAATAAAATGAATAGAATTTTCAATACGAAAATATAATATCGATGAAGTTTTTTCAACTTTGAACGTTTGAATATTTATATATTCATCGAACCATTTATATGTAAAGTGAATAGATAATAGAATTGTTTTTGTGTATTTCAAATCAGTTCTTTAACTCATTCAATGAAATGAAGGATCAAAAGAGGATGCTATGAGTCAATTTACTATTTTTCATGGTTTATGTCAGCGCACTGAGGTCAACAAATAGATTGTACATTTTTGATCATTTTTCTCTACATTTACGAATCAAAAACACAGCGGATGACTTGTATATACAAAAATTTTCGTTTTACGTCTTCATTTATGCTCCAACAGACTTTCCTTTGTTGGGCACAAAGCAAATCTATTTATTTATTATAAAGTATTGCTAAGAGAAAGCGCTGCTTACAACTTAAATTGATCAAAGTTTTTAGGCCTAAAAAGAACCACCTTCAGCGTACATACGTTTCAGACAGCAACACCAGAAACTTCCAGTCACCTATTTGAGATTTCGAAAGTTTCAGACGATCCAAAAAATTTCATATACTTACTGCGAAACATAATAAAAATTTAAACAGGTGAAAAATTCAAATAAAGATGGTTCAAATAAAGTTTAATTGGAATGTTATCAACAAGGCAAAGGATAATAGCCATAAATTCGTTAGTTGAACATAAAAATAATTTTTTGAAAGTCTTTACATGACTCTATCACGTGTATTAAGATGTTAAAATATATGTAGATCCAGCATAGGCGGCACGCCAACACTGCAAGGAACAGCAATTGCTTTCCCTAAAAAAGATTTGTGAAGGCAATATGAACTTATTGCTTCCTTTACCGGTCTCCGTTTCGTTGATATTAATATATAGTAGGATATATATTCAGGTGTAAGTTTGCTACTTATATGGACATGAACGGTACACCACCAAAGTAGTATATACAGTTGCTGCTTCGCCTAGAAAAAATTCGGAGAAGCAATAAGAATTTATTGCTCAACTTATTGCTTCCCCTAAAAGAATTACCTTGCATCGTCCATGCAGATGCATAATTATATTATTTGCTAAATGATAAATTAATTATTAGATATTTTTTTTAGTGCCATGAGCTCGTTTTGAGAACAAAAAGTGTCGCGTATATACAATATCGTCATTAGGCATATGATTATTGGCGCAATTGTATATATTTATAAAATAACAACAATGTAGAAGGTTAAAAGTTTTATTACATATATATCTAATCGAAATCTAGAATTTTCCAATATATCAGCTCACGCACTATCATTGATGTGAAGATTCAATAACGAGATCGAATTACACGAATTTCTCAATTGCATTGTTGGTTACATGTTTACTCTTTGACAAATGATATTTTAATTATAAAGATATAGCAACATCTGCTAGTTCTTCATTGGCTAAAATTTATTAAGTATTTAATATTCACAGGAGCTTAACTTCTACGGAACAAGATCTTTTTATGAAGATTATATACACGAATAAATTTTATCTTTTCGAGATCTTACTTTTCTTAACTTTAAGTTTTTCTTTTAATAGAATCAAACAAATTTTCGTTGAAGAAATTTCTCTAATTTGCAACTGTTTGTCAAGAAGATACTCATTATGAATTAATCAAATTGTATAATTAACGAACATCAAAAGATCCTTTGTTTTCAGGAAGTTTTCTTTACTTCTCTTTTATTAACTTGATTCGTCATCTAATTTGTTTCTTTCATCCATTCTGTCACTCGCAGAAGAAGTCGCACTTTAATAGTAATTTTCATAAGAAAAAATATCCAAAAATTAGTTTATATCTCTAAATATGTTGTCAAATATTTATTTAATAGTTTTTTCAAGACATGATACAGAGTTCAAGAATACAATTTCACTCGTACATCAGATCAATTCATATTAGATATTTGTTTTCAATTGGGACAAATAAGTATAACAGTATATTCGGATGAAGATTAGGCACATAAACAACAATTTTCAAAAATCACTATTTTACTAATTTCCATTTCAACTTTGGTTAATCAAACATACTCTTCATAACATTATTTAACCAAATCTTATTTGCCATCTAAAGTTTGTTTCCAAATATTTTATTGAAAACAGAAAAAAAAGAAAAACCGAGAATGTAGGTGTGGGCAGATACGGATGTTAGTGATGAAGCGATGAGGGTGGCTGGGGTGTGGGTGGGTGTGGATGTGTAAGTAAATAACAGCTACATCCACACCCTGACTTTTCATCTAATATGAAAAGAAATTTGGTTAGTTTTGAATCAAAATATCGTGAACAAAAACATGAAGAGATTATGTGCAGAATTCGAAAATTCTACATGGAACAAGATGAATATAGAGTGAAATTAGTGGCACACAGATATATAATGCTCATAGGACGAACACACACGGAGAAATCTACAATCAAATTAATGCTCTTCGATCCAACTATAGTATCCGATCAACCTACATTTTTTTCACTTCAAGAACATTGTGTCCATGATCGCTCTACATTGATGGTGCAGCGTGTGTTTTAAATATCATCGATACATCAGGTCTGTTTGAGAAAGTGCGTCTATAAATAGCTATTCGCGACAATGAAACTATTTTAAGAACAATAGAAATGTGTGTTCATCATGAAGTTACAAAGTTCCACGTGATCTATTTTTGTGTCTAACTTGAGTCTGGTATTAATGCAGAAGATGTACATTCAATTCAATTAGTGCACGAATTTTTTGGCAACAGTATATCACACAATTCCTGCCTGACCATTACACAGTGAGAGTCGAAAAGTGACGAATTCTGCGCCAGAATATTTGCTAAATTACGTGACAGTCCTAATTTCAACTCGATTATACCACTTTTTGAACTAGGTGTCTTCTTTGCTGGTTCACTTGATCATAATGACTATAATTTTGGTAACAGCGTCCTCCACTAGCAATTTGAAAGAATTGCCACATATCGTACGAAACTGATCGAAATGATCATGAGTACCATTGATCTGATCTCAATTCACAATATGGCTATCAGAGAATGATCCAGACACTTGAAGGTGAGTGTGTGAATAGTTTCTTCATTCATACCCATATCTATATTCTCATTTAATCTTTATTTCCTCATAGAAAATCAAATTCTTCAATTATGTTCGTCATATTCTCCTGTTTAATCACGATTCTTATTTTTCAGAGATAGTCTACTACCTAATAGTTGATCTATGAGATTAATTACTGTTTACACCTTTTCAATTCAATAATTTACAGAAAATTAATTGAAAGACATCGAATGATAATCATCACAAATATATTGCAATCATATCCATTTTTTTCCGGCTATATTCGAAATGATCACAATAATAGTTTACAAATTATTTAGAACATGCTCTATTAAGTTTGTTTGAGCTTCACAATTTGTTAAAGCCATCTGTTCTTCAATTGTCCTCATAAACTTTATTTGAAAGAAAAAAGGAACTTGTCGTTTCTTCTGAGAAATCCAACGTGAGAAGAACAATCTGTTAATTAATGAGCTTTGTTGAGTTGTGGTTTTCTATGATTTGCATATTTGTAGGGAGCAACTCGTTCTTCATAGTGAAGATGTGGTCCAGTTGATCTTCCTGTATTTCCACTCTTGCCGATTACATTTCCTGCTTTGGCGCTTTGTCCAACTTGAACTAGTTTCTGACTTAAATGTGCATAGAGTTGACGAACTTTATCTGATGATTCAATGACGATATGAGTGCCATAATCTGAACCAAAGTTCACATCTTTCACCGTGCCACTGGCTGTAGCGTGAACACTAGTTCCAATTGGACATGCATAATCATCTCCAGTGTGATAACCAGCAGCCCAACTACCAGGTTTGCCAAACGGAGTGGTAACTTTTCTGCCTGGAAGAGGCTCATGAGCAGAGACTACTACACAGAGAACAAGAAGTAAAAAGCAGTAGAAGTAACTCGACATTTTTTTTTAATCTATCGAAAAATAAATTGTCGTTTAGTTTTTATATGATCGACACAAGAGAAAAGGATCATGTGATTAGTTTTTTTAATTTTATGAATACTTTTTTTTTTTAATCGATGATAGTGTAAAACAGGTGTGTTGTTTTTTAGAGTGTGAAAGGAAACTGATATTCTGGGGACAAAATTGTGTGGGTGACAGTAAAGATTGATGTAGAGCAATCTGGAAATCATGAAGAATAAAACAATAAACAAGAGAAACGCTCTTTGATTTTTCTCCAGATCTTGCAATTTAAGATTTTGCTTTCTTCGACCATTTTTGATCTCGCTCGACAGATAACCAACATATAGTTTACTTTTTTTCATAAAGAATATGATCTAGAATAAGAACTTCTTTTTTATTCTCACAAATCAATTTACACTCTTATCGAGCATAGTGTTGCTCTTTTTTCATTTCTTGTATCACTTTATGCATGTACACGTGAAGTCGTTTAGTTTCTTTTACGTTTCGTTTTTTTTTCTATCTCTCAATCACAATAAAGTATTAAGATGGTGTTCCCTATCATTGTACATTTTGGTGGTGAAGAGAGAGGGTACATCGAGAAAGTAGAGCCAAAATTGATAGAAGCCAGTTGTATCTATAATAAAGACAAAGGAACTATCGACTGGTTTGTTAGTCAAAATAAGAAAAACATGAGATTTCACTTTCCATAAAAAGATAGAACATTTCATTTTCAAATAGATGTGGTAGATTCAACCAAGCTTGCCATCGTAGAATGATATAAACAGTAAAGTGATATGTAAAATCATATTATCAATTCTATTTTGTGCATACGTGCAATTATTTTTATCTAAACCATTAATATGTTCTTATCTGCATTTTAGGACAACTTTCTTCTGATTTCTTTGATTGAAACTAGAACC